CATTAAAACATTTGTACAACAACTATCAAGTAGCGCGTGCGCTTCCAGCATCTTTTTCAGTTTCTCTATTGAAATTATGTGGAATTCGAAACAAAAATCCTGTGGATGATGAGGGAAAAGGAATGTGAGATGAATTGGGGAAAAAATGTATTTTATTGTGGAAAACATGACCATAAATTCCTGATGCTTCCCTCATCCCCCGCACACACATACACACACACACTCTTTCTGATATTTTCATTTCATTCTCGTTGTCGTCGTCGTTTTGAGGTCAAGTCAATGTACTCTTAATGTCGAGAATTGTTATTAAACAATAAGCATTTCAATTGATGCGAATGAAGAGAAAATGGAAGTATTTGAGAATTCAAAACTTGTTGTTGAAGTTGTTTTGATTTGGATTTTTTGAGGGGTTTATATTCTTTAGTCGCAATATGGTGTTTATACATGCTGTTTAATATTGAAAAAAATTCCATAGTTATCTATAGATGCTTTTAATGTTGTGGACATTTAACGAATCCTTGTATTTTGACAGCTTTATGTAAAGATTGACAGTGTTTGGCTTTTTTTGAGAATCGAACCCAAGTTTTCAAAGATGAGGTTATTGATTTATTATCCAAACCACAAGACCACAGAGACCTTACTCTTGCACTGTCAGATTTGCCTTTATATAGCTCGATACCTGAGATTTTACAAAATTGAAAGAAGTCAAGCTCTATCGAACAATGCTTAAAAAAAACCTATAAGACCATCAAAAGCACACAACAAGCAAAGCTCAAAACCAAAAATTACGATAAAAAAAAAAATTCTTGGAAATTTCATAATCATTTAAGTCCACACAATACCTACGTATCGTTTTTTATTTATTTATAGCACGATTAAAAAGTGACATAACAAACACACAAAAAAAGGCAAAAAGTGAAGTGTTTACGACGAGATGAGAAGCGAGTAAGTGAGAGAGAAGAGGAGACGGGGAAAAAATCTAATTAAAATTTTGTGCTTGTGTTTTTGTCATACTAATTATGTTTGTGAAAAGATTAAAAACGCTTTTTGTTATTTTCGTTTTCCTTCAGACTTCTTAGTCTCCTTTTCAGCGAGTTCCTTGTGATGATTTTTGAGTTGATTTGGTGATATCCAATATTATAAAGAAACCTGGACGCTTCCTTTTATAACTTAATAAACCCCTAAGCCCCTAAACATCAGCATCAAAATTTCCTCCCAAAACAACCTTAAGGATCTCCTGTTGTTTCTCATTTTATTCTAAAAAAACATATTCTTGTATAAAATTTCTTTGTTAGCTTAATGAGCCTTTTGTTTGGTTGCTTAAAGGTTAATTATAACACATTTCTTTTTGCCTTTAAGCTTAATGTACCTAAAATATAACATACGTTCTGAAATAAATGACAGGAATAAAGATGCTCAAGAGTTAATTTTGCTTAAAGAAATTGGATTTATGAGAAGGATGTTTTGAGTATTTTTTGTGAGACAATTTAGAGTCGACTTCATTTTTTCCGAGTCAACTCGAGTTGACTTCGTATGACTCGAATCAAACCCTATCGACTTCGAGCTCTAGTTGAGACGATGTGGATGGATATAGTTGTGTAATATGAAGTAGAGACGTAGTCAGGAAGGGAAAACGTTTCGAAATTAAACTTTCTTAAAATAAATAGGATATAAGACCCCAAAAGATTTCCTGAATCACTATACATCAAGTTAAAATAAATTTATTAAAATTCTAAGCAAAAATTCTCAAAAGGTGCCACATCCAAGCCTCAAGCTCCTTCTAACTTATTCTTCGAATATTGAATCGATAATTTTCCTTTAAAATTTAAATTTATTCCTTTTACACCCACACACAAAATCCATTCCGTATCAGTTAAAATTTAACAACACCTTAAAATTTTCATCTAGCTCAAAAACGAGAAACTTTTCTGTATCCACCCATTCAAGTCTACATCAGATACACAATAATGTAAAGTACGAAAGCGAAAAGTGTGAAATAAACAAACAAACAAAAACTGTTGTTCATTCGTATCGAGTGTTGTTAGCCATGAATATTCAAAATAAGTAAATATTTATGTCAAAAATTGATGAAAATTTTCACGATAGGTAAAATTTATTCAGTAAATTAATGCTTATGGGCTGCTTGATTTGAAAATAGATTTTTTTGATGAGGAAGTGCTTTAATTATAGTTGAAAGTTGTTGTTTTTTGGGGTGAAATTCGTGTCTTTGAATTTTTAAGGTTAGCAATTAGTGTTGAGATTTTCACCTGCTTTTTGTGGTAATTTATTGGTGAACTTTTTAGATGAATTGTCTTTTGATGTTAATGGGGTTAATGGGTGCCTAAGATATCAGATTTTGAAGCTGTATGACCTCCTTTGGTTGAACGTTCCCTTGTTTAACAATAAATTTTCATCTTCATCTTTAGCAGGCGCGTAGCCAGGGGGGGGGGGGGATTTGGGGGAAAACAAAATCACAAAAATACCCCCCCCCTTTAATTTTTCCATACAAAAAATTGTTTGTCCCTCCCCTCTTCAAATTCCTGTCTATGCCCCTGATCTTTAGTAATATCAAATTATCGTTACCAAACGCTCATTATCAGCACCCAACAAGAAACTTTAAAGCTTCAATAAAATTCCCATTTATTTCCTCGAAAATTCAAAGACCAGAAGAACTACAAACTCAATTGATAGAAAATTTCATTAGTTAAGTCAAAAATTATATTTTAACAAAAAAAAAAAAAGTCTTCCACATCAGCGAGGCTTCATTTGTTCAATGAGAAGGAAAATTCCTTTTTAATTTAAATTGAGCAGAAGCCACAAGCATGATTTTGTGCTTTTTCATCGATTTTTTTCTCTACTCTCTTATTTCTTTTCCTTTACCTGCTTTTCATCTATTCGTCTAAAATTTTTTTTATTATAGCTAGAGAAGATAATAAGCTTATAATGATCAAACGAAGTAAACGTTAAAAAGGAAGAGAATTCAAAAGCCACAAAGCAAGACGAACTTAATGGAGAATATATTTATAGTTGTGAATAAAGTCTTTGATTTTTTTTCGTGTGTTTCTAGGCTGCGGATAGAATGAGACTTTATGCGGCAGGTGAAGATGCTGTTGGCAAAGCAACGACCTAGTTTTGATAGCTGTTTGTTCATCAAACTTTCATGAATGAACAAAATTTAATGTTTTTTTGAAGCACGTTTTAAACTTACAATCAATGTTGTTTAAAGTTTGTGGCCCTGAGTTTAGTTACGCTCTGTATTGAGATTTTCTGATTCCCATGACAAGCTAGTCGAAAATCTTAAACTGATCTAAATAAAATGGATGTGTTCCTGGTGATAAAGCTCTGACTTTCCCAATCAATCCTCATAAACCTGCCAGAATCGATAATAATTTTGGTGATAATAAGTCCAAGACCCCCCCCCCCCCCTCCCATCTCCACCTTTCATTCCATATAAATTTCAAGATATCCTTAACCTTTGCTTTATCTCTACATTAAAAAAAAATCAAAAATCTCAAGTCATCAACCATCACATCATATATTATGTTAAATTAAGTACCGATTTTAAAGCACAAGAAAAAAAAATCTCGCACTTTCCCAAGGTATTCTCATCCATTATTTTTTAATCCACCCTCGACACAGCAATTTATTCAAAAAGGAACAAAAAATTTTTTCCCGATCATAAAAAAGCTAAACAACATCTTTATGGGAGCTGTTTTGATGTTATTTTATGGAACATTGGCAATAAAAATTAAACATAAATAGAGTGAAGTAAACTTGATACTTTAATTAAACAGCCAACGCCGTTTCGATGTGCCTCAAAAGTAAGAAGAAAATTTTACAACAAATTTCTTAAACGAAAATCATTAAAAAGTTTAAACTTTTTGCCTTTTTTCCAGTGCGCCACTTGAGAGTATTAACAAACACTGCATGGGGCGTTGGATTTTTATCTCTTTTAAGTTTTAATATTTGTGCTTATGCAAAATTAATAACTCATTTCCTTCAAAACATAATTTATTGTTTTTATCTCAATTGGGGTCGATGACTAATGATGTCTGCAGACATCTTCAAATTTTATTCAAATGCTCTTATATGCTGGGAGACTTGTATCAAAAATTGCTAGCTGCAGGTGCTTAACACAAATTGATTAATAAGTCGCAATTGGCTAATTACTTTATATGAATTGATTAAAATCTTCCTAAAGTTTATTAACCAGTAACAGCTGTAGATACGAATTTAAACACCTGTTGTTTATTAAGCTCTGTTGATTATATGTAAGTGCTTTGACACACTCGTGCATACATTGTATGGAAGAATGCGATGAGTTTTTAAGGAATATAAAAAAGGGGTTTGGAGCTTTGGGATCATATATATATAAGCCAGTTCCTATCCCCTTACTATATACGAAAGATTTGCGACACACTTGCTAAACATCTTATTTTATTCTTCTAAAGAGTGAATTATGAGATCTTCCCTAAAAAAATCACTGAGATTTTGTGAATTATCTGTTCAAATCACATAAAATAGTGATCAATGCCATAAGTCTTTTCCTATCTTTCCTATGAAAGACTCAATACAGAATGGTACAATTTGGTTAATCGATCAAAAATCCGGCTCTAAGATGGTGTGACTCTAGCATGGTGCTGGAAGTACATCAAGACCAGCACGATACAAGAAGATTTTAACAAGATTTTAATCAAAGACAGCACCATGCCAGAGTCATGCCGGCTTGGCACAGGATATATATTCAATAAACCGACTAGAATCATTCGGGACTGTCTAATACTCAATTCTTATTTTTCTTCAATGTCAAACACACAATCAAATTTTTATTTTTCAAATCAGAAAACTGATTCATCATTGCTGCTCACGACCTTAAAATATATAAAACAAATACTCTTATTTTCTCGTATGCTATCAACTTTGTTATACATAACAAAACTATGTCTGCAAAATCAGAGCGACTTAAGTATAAAAACGCACTCACAATTGAGGTTCAAGTCAGTCAACCAACTGGAACCGAATTAAATTATAAAAAAAAAAAATGGCATCAACAAAACTAATTCTAGTCATCCTTACCAGCTTAATCGCAAATGCTTATTGTTCATTTTGGACTTCGTGTAAAACCGGACGTCCACCAATTAATGTTCAATCACCATCATGTACTGGTGATCGTTGTCTTGCTGTTCGTGGTGAAAATATTATTTTGAGTGTCAACTCCGATTTTATTGAAGCACATCCACTGCTTAGACCAAGAGCTTTTGCTATTGTTCTTGGAGTTCCGATTCAAATTCCTGATGATCCGGCTTATGCTGATATGTGAGTTTTTTTTTGCCATGCTAATGCTTCTTTTGATTGGTTTTTATCGAACAGAAATTTTAAAATTGTTCATAATTAATTTTTTAACAGTTGCCCAATTTTAAATGTCAATGGAGTTCACCGCGGCTGTCCAACAGCACCAAATACAGTTTATGATTGGACCTTAGACATGCTTATTCCGACTGCTATTCCAGCTTTTCAAAATGGAAGAATCAGAGGTGAGCATTTACCAAAAAATTCCAATTCCTTTTATCAACGTGCTAAGCAACTGATTCATAAGTGGCTTAGCATTGAAACTGCAATGGAACAAAATTGCTATCAAATTTTTTGAAATATTAATTTTGTCAAATTACAGTTGAGCTTTTGGATGCTGGCCGTGTTGTACATTGCTTCGAAGTTCTTGGAACTATGTTGTAAAGACGACTATTTTTGGATGCTTTCAATATTCAATTTAAATTATTATTCAATGTTTTTTTTTCAAAATTAATTTAAAAGCTTAGAAAAATTATATTTACAACAGATTTCGAAACCTCAAATAAAATGTCTGTGAGTACCTTTAAATTTAATTTTTTTTAATTTTGAAGTTTTGGGATCACCCTTTACCCGCTTGATTGATCAAAATGTGATTAGTCATTGAACAAACAACGATTTGTAAACAATTCCCAAAAAAATCACAGCCCAGATTAAACTAAGACCCATTCACGCATAAATATCTTCCGTATGCATCATAAAAATTCCTCAAAGGCGTAAATGAAACAAATTAATTATCTCAAGTGGCTCATTACAGCGAGAGATTTGATAACATTTTTGTCTGTTCCAAAAAAAAAAAAAAATATTAAGGCAAGTGCTGCTGATATTAATGAACACCTGTTGTTTATCAGCACTAAGTGAATTGTTAAGTACTTAAGAATTATTTGGAAATTCCCTTGATTACATCACACGTGGAATATTTTAGTCCGAATAATTTTAAATAATTTTTTTATAAATTTGATGACGAAAAGTCATACAATGTTAAATTAGGTCCAAAAATCATAAATTCTCAGGCCATACTCAGAGGAAAATCAGCGATAAATTAATCAAACAGGTGTAGATAAAGCTCAACAACTTAATCTAACTCAACAACCAACCCGTTTTCGTATAAAAAGGCTTACCAGAATCGCAAACAATTCAGTCTCTTGTGCGAATTAAACTTAATAACTTTAAACCTTCAAAATGGCATCTACAAAATTATTATTAATCGTCCTCATCTGCTTGATTCCAAGTGCCTTCTCATTCTGGTCAGGTTGTCCTAATGGTCGACTTCCATTGAATGTTCGCTCTGATTTATGCAATTCTGAACGATGCGTTGTTACTCGCGGTGAGAGAATTATCATGGAAATCACATTAGACTTTTTAGAAGCACATCCAACACTTCGTCCAAGAGCTACAATGTTCTTTTTGGGAGTTGGAATTCAAGTTCCTGATGTTCCTGGCCATGATGATGTGTAAGTTAATATATATTAAAATAGAGCAGGCAAAAACCTAATTTAATCAAATTTTAAATAATCATTTATAGATGCCCACATCTCTTCTCCGACGGAGTCTTCCAAGGTTGTCCAACAACTCCAGCAAGAGTTTACGACTGGGTCATTGATATGACTGTACCAGCTACACTCCCAGCTTTCCAGAATGGAAGAATGCGTGTTGAAATTCTTGATGGAACACGAGTGGTCAGCTGCTTTGAAGCTGTTGGTGCGATGATTTAAGAAGTACAAGTTTAGGAATATTTATGAACTGCATTTTGATATGTTTTAAGGATCTTTCTATTTTAAAAATTATTTGATAATAAATTTTAAGATTTTGGTAAAAGTACGACTGACTTTTTACTCTTGTGCTTTTAATTCTTTTTTTATTTGAAGATAAACTTACAGAAGCTACTCAAATATGGCATTAATAAGACAAGCTCGTCGACTGCCCTCTAATTAACGAACATGACTCGGCAAGTTTTAAATTCAAAGATTCCGTAAACCAATTATGAATTTAATTTCTTATCAAATTTTACCGCCAATAATGATACTTATAATGATAACATATTGAGTAAGGTCCAAAAAGCACAATTACTTCATAGCTTTTATTTTAATAGAAATTTTACGATAACCTAGTCGATAAACAGGTGTTGAGATTTTTGATAAAATTAAGATCCTTAATGCTATAAAATATTAAGTAACTTAGAGTATAAATTGCCTTAAACTGTTGCAAGCAAATCAGTCTCTCGAGTGAATTCCATAAAAACTGTCAAGAAATGGCACAAATTAAATTATTTTTAATCGTTCTCGTCTGTTTAGTCCAAAGTGCATTCTCATTTTGGACAAGCTGTGCAGTCGGACGTGCACCGATCAGTGTAACATCTCCACAATGTGAATCTGGATCACAAAGATGTGTACTTACTCGTGGTGATCCACTCCAAATGGATATTACAATGGATTTCTTAGAGTCACATCCAGCATTAATTACGAGAGTTACAATGCTTGTTTTGGGAATATGGATTAATATTCCAAATATTCCAGAGTACGAGAATGTGTAAGTTTAATTTATTAGTTGTTGAGAACTTTTGGGGATAAAGGAAGGCTTATAGAGAGATTTGATCAACTTCTAAGGTTCTTTAAGCTATTTTGAGTACAGTAAACAATTTCTCATTTTAGATGTCAATTCCTTTACTCCGATGGAGTATTAACAGGCTGTCCAACTGTTCCTGGTACAATTTATACCTGGAAAATGAATGTTAACATTCCAACGTCAGTTCCAGCTGTGCAAAATGGACGAATTCGTCTTGAAGCTATGGATGGAAATAATATTGCTACATGTTTTGAAATTATTGGGACATTGTTTTAAATTGTATAAAAATTATGTGAAATTAAATTTTAAGTGATGTGATTTAAAAAAATTATTTTATTTGCTTAAATGTTTAAGTTCATCATTCTCATCTCTCGGTAAAATGGCATCAGTCGCCTAAATAATAGAGCACTGGCCTTTCGTGACAAAGGTCCTGGATTCAATCCCAAGCCATGTCTAATTTTCGAAGCTCTTTTTCCATTTCATCGTTCTAGTTAAGAAGCTCTAGAGAAGTTCGTGTGTTGGGTTGCACAGAATATGCCTCTTTTGCTAGGTATACAAGGATATCCTAGCATCTGGATGACTTTCTTACGGCATCTTGCGCACACGAATTGTGACAAGGTACATTGCAGGCAGAGCTTACAAGTGGTTCGAATCCCACTTCATACTGTAGGTTTAAAGGGTATGGTAGAATAGATTCTCTACTAATTCTATCGCAGTGCCTCCAACTGAAAGGCTTGGCCCTTCACAGTTCGGTTCAAAGTTGTGCGGAAAGATTTTGTAAAATTCAACAATATCACTACAATGTAGCACCTCAATACACAATTTTATTGACTCATAAAGCAGCACACTTGCACAATCATTTCCTATCAATTAAAACCGAATTAAAAACGATTAAAGAAGAAATAAAAAAAATTCACACGTACCTGATAAGGTAATGACAATAAAACATCTGTTCAGTAATCGAATGACGAATTTTTCAAGTGGCTAAAATACTATCTATGTTAAGATAAGACTTATCTCTTACTATCGTTTGACTTTATATAGTAAAAAAATATTTCTAAGCGCCGGCAAAATCAAAATGCTGAGTAAAATTCCAAAAGTCGTGTGAATGACCTCGTAAAAAAATATTTATAGCAATAACTTTAGTTTAAGTATCAATTTTACTAGTTTTTCTACTAGTCTGTGCAATATCTTCAATATTTTACTATTACTGCTCATAAAATTTTTTTAATATGAAACATTCGTTGAGCACATAACGGAGAAAATTCCAAGATTTACTTCACATTTGTGAAATTTTTCATAAAAAAAGGGAATCTTGTAGAAAAAGTTTAACAATAAAAGCTCTTCCAAGTAGCTTATTACTTCCATATTTTTTTATAACAAGAAAAAAGATTCTAATCCCAAATAAAATTCAATCCCGAAGTTCCTTAACATTCTTTTATCCTCAAATCTTTATGAAAAAATATTAAGGATGGATACTCAAATGGAATTTCAATTTTCCAGACATAGAAACAACATCTACACATTTGACATTCGCCTTCGAGCGTAACTGCAAAGTATATTAGTAGTTAACGACAAGCAGTGGAGATTAGCAGGTCGCTGTAGTGGAAACGATGACATGAAAGTTTACAAATCTCTTCATGTTTGAACAAGCAGTGCAAGGTCCTTATGGGGAAATTTTGTCTGAACTTTTGAGTTCTTTATTAAGTTTTTTGAAGCTATTAAAAATTAGAATTTCTTAAAGTTGTTTAAATTCAAGTTTCATAAAACCGTTAAAATTTGAATTTTTTATTGCCGTTAAAATTTTGATCTCGAACTTAATTGAAAACCAATCAAAAATCACTCAAAGGGACCTCCAAAAAAAGTTTAATAGTCAAGCGAAAATAATCTGTCTAAGTAAAGCCACTCACTGCTTCATTTGTGTACACATGTATCCTCGTGCTTATAAATTTGTTTTCTGCTTTTGCTTGAACCCCCGATATGAATGATTTATGATGTTAATATTAACTTTGACAAAAATCTGTCGTAAAAGTCAAGAATGAGGGAAAAGAACTGCAAAAAAATAAGAATGAGACGGAAGGAAAAGTTTGCGACAGAGGACAAGATATAAGTTTATGCTATATGATTCCCTTATTACCCTTCGCTCATATGGTTACTCACTCAGGCATAGGAAAAGGCAAACATTTTGTAAATCTGCAATTTACTTTCCATTTTTTTTTCTTACTTACACATCGTCTTGATTGCCTGACTTCCTTTCATCCTCACATTTTATTATCATATGTGCATGTTATGTGCTTATAAAAGAGAGACAGACACTGAATGGAAAGAGGATGATGGTGTTGAAAAATATTTTGGTTTGGATGGTTGATGGTCTCGTTAGGGCGCATTTTGTATGAATTGTTGAAGGCTTATCTAAGACAGATTATAAAGCATCGACTTATTAAGTGTACAATTTTGAAGCTAGGCTTCATTCGGTTAGCAGTTAAAAGCAACGACTTGTTATGTTAACAGTTTAAAGCTACGACTTATTCTTTCAACAGTTTAATTCGACGATCTATTAAGTTAATATTTCAAAGCAACAAATTATTCTATTAACAGTTTAAAATGATGACAGATTAATAACAGTTTAAAGCGACGATTTATTCTGGAAACAGTTTAAAGTGGCGACTTATTTTGTTAACATTTCAAATCAACGACTTATTCTGTTAATAGTTTAAAGCGACGACTTATTCTGTAAACAGTTTAAAGCGATGAATTACTTTGGTAAAGGTTTAAAGCAACGACTTATTTATTTAATGTTTTGATGCTTTGACTGATTCAGTATGTTCTGGTATTTTTTAGACTACATCATAAAGTTTGAAGGAAATGCCATCAAAAAGACCAAAAGGAGCAGACCACGATTCCATCTTCAAACATTTTTTGGCTAAAAAATTTACTTTGGCTTGCGGTGACGAGCAAGAACAGAATAAAAATGAACCTTATGATGTTCAACAGCTTAAGATTGTGTTCTCAGAAATGCCTTTATATCTCTCTCTTTTTTTACTTCATACATGGATTTCATATATTTCATGTATTCTCGAGGATATTTCCTTCAGGTTCTGATGGCAGAAAACGACATGACGTGCATCGAATAGAACGACAAAAATGAAATAAAGTAAATCGATTCTTGGGTTATTTTTGGTCTTACATTCTCGTCTCATATAAACATAAGCATGTGTCATCAAAAAAAGTGTCTTGTTATTGGCATATGGAATAGCATCAAGTATAGGGGCTATTTATTCAAACGATATTTCCGAATATATTACACAATTTTTTTTTCTTCTCAATGATATCAGAAATTGCCATCTTCTCACTTTATATTAATGATGCCATTGATTTCTAGCCAATTTCTTATTTCTGGATGGAAAAAGAAACTTAAAGCTGATGTATTGCTGTATTTCCATGAAATGGCATGGCTTATAAATGTCGATCATGTATCGAATTAAAGATATGAATCAACAATATTGGCGAGGCCAAGCATGAAGGCATTTGTTCCAATTTTCTTTTCTCGTTGGCATATTTCATTAGTCTTGTTGCCAACATTGAATTGGATAGATAATGTGTAAGAGAAAAGACCTAATTATTTCAAGATGATGTGCTGTTAGTGTTGGTTCAGTAGTTGGCTTAAAAACTTGACAAAATCTCCTTAAAAAAGTTTTATCAGGGTTCGGACTTTTGAATCTGTGTTGTAGATTGTTGAAGGTTAAAGCTTGGCACTGATAAAAATAGAAAGCTTTAACTTGTAGGTGTATAAAAAATATTTAAGCTATTTTTATCACTTTATCAAATAGATAGATGTGAACATCTCGATGCAATTTTGTGTTATGTCCGCGTAAACAAAAAATAACCTGCATAGTTAAAACTGATGTTACCTGATCAGGCCTGGTGATATAGAATAATAATCTTATAACTTCCAACCACTGTGATGTCAACACTTGTTAGAGTCTTCAAAAGGTTAGTAAAGATTTACTCTATATAATAAAAGGATGTGCAAAATTAAACCTGAACACTTTGCATTAAATAATTACTAAAAATAGCTTTTTAATTAAAAAGTTTTAGGAATCTTGAAGATAAGCAAATCTATTAATCGCTTCAGCTGTAACATATAAATCAGTGTACTCTCACTTTTACTTGAAATCGCAACACTTCTCGCAGAAAATATAAAAAGCCTTGACTATTCGCCAAACACGATCAGTTGATATTGTGACAGTAAGAACTTCAAATGACATCATCAAAAGTTATTTTTCTCGCATTCTTGTGTTTAGTCCAACAAGCTTCTTCATTTTGGACTGCATGTCCCAATGGACGACTACCAATTGATGTTCAAACTCCGCACTGCACCAGTAATGGATGTCAGGCAGTCAGAGGTGAACCATTTCAAATGACAGTGTTAATGGACTTCTTACAAACTCATCAGCAGCTTCGGCCCAGAGGAACAGTTTTTATTTTTGGTGTTGGAATTCAAATTCCAGATGTGTCTGGACAAGATGATGTGTAAGTTAAATTGTGACTTTAAAAACTGTGTTGCAAAAATTAATAAGGTGTAAATAAGATTTGATACCAATCAATTGATCAATTTCCAGATGTCCACACTTATTGCTTAATGGTCAGCATCATGGCTGCCCAGTAGCACCTAATGTACAATATACTTGGAATATTGATATGCTTGTGTCTACAAATATTCCCCCATTTCAAAATGGAAGAATTAGAGGTAAAATTTGGAGTTAAATGTTGAAATTAATTTTAATATAATTTATTTTTTTAAAATTATTTCAGTTGAGGTCCTAGAAGGTACAAATGTGCTTATATGTTTTGATGCTCATGGAAGCATTTTATAGAAGGATTGTTTTATTCAACTCGGCTGTTTTGTTAATGTAAAATGGAACTATCTGTTTGATTCCGCATCTTATAACTCTTCTTTAACTTCCTTTGTTATTTTTATTATATTAACTAGTTCTAAAGGCAATTCAATTGATTAATTTTAAAATAAGTAAAAAAAAAATAAAAAAAAAATTAAGTCTGTGTAACAATCACTGACTCACTAACCTATTCATAAACATTTATTCCTACATTCCATTTTTTTATCACTTCAATTTGATAACAAAGTTTATTTTTAAATGTCTTACATTCAATGAAGCAACTCTTAGATGTTAATTCTTTAATGCTGAGATAAAAGATAAATTTGTTGCAGTTTTGATTTGTTTTATTCGAATTTTTAAATGTCATTCTCTGATGACATCTTAATGTCACTACAATTGACCCTCTTAGCGTCAGGAACTAGCCTATGTTTACCCTATACTTTTTAGCATCAAATTACAGCTGTACTAAAATTACAGCTGTAGATTGCAGATGAACTTACGTCGTTACGTAAAAATCAAATTACTGCTGTAATTTACTGCTGAAGTTTAATGTGTATAAATAACATACAGCTGTAAATACAGATGGTGTTTATAACTTAGACAAGTGCTTAGCTTGTCAGTTGATGTAATTTTTCGTAAATTCTGCTGGTTTTGACGATGATTTTTCCTTTTACAAAAAGATTGAATCCGTAATCTACAGCTGTAATTTTAGTACAGCTGTAATTTGATGCTAAATAGTATAGGGTCCTATGTTTAGATACAAACTATTCTAAACCCATCAAAACCGTTTGAATCACTACTATTGCTATTGCTTCAACTCAAGACTTAATAATCGATTTTATACCCTTACTCAACAACGCTACTAATTTCCGATTCTAAATATTACCAAATGTAATTAATCAATAATTCTCTCTCTCCTTTATACTCCCCAAAAGTGTCTAACGAGAAAATTTGATTAATTATTTCAACACAGAAGTGTGAACGCATGATTTTTCTTTCCATCGTCACTCCCTCACTAGCCCCCTCCCCATTCCTTATTCACAATTCATTTACTTGATGTATCAATATGCATGTGTAGTGCTTTTGTATGGCAAACCAGCTAGCATAAAAAGAAACATCATGAGAAATGATACTGCCATGAAATTTTTGTGTACATACATTTTCCATGAAAAGGATCAAAATCATACACAAGAAAAACACATAAAGAGAAAGAATCTATGAACAAAAGTTTACGACATAGCATAAATGTATAAATATTTCAAAATATGTTTGGATTTGTAGACGTGATGAGAAAATTGATAGGTCGATCATTCCCAATTTCATATTTTTTCCATCTTTGTTGGTCTTGTGGATGTGTTTTTGTTGGGGAGTATTGGGTGACAGACATGAAATATGATGTTAATGATTGTCATTTTCCTGGTCGTCTCATTAAGTGACTTAATAAAGGCAATCATTAGGTTGAATTAGGATCTTTTACTTGAGAAGATGCAACGATTTCTGCTTCAATTGATGCAAAGTTGTTTGCTTCAAAAGATGCACAGTTTTTTGCTTCAAAAGATGCAAAGTTTTTTGCTTCAAAAGATGCAAAGTTTTTTGCTTTAAAAGATGCAAGACTTGAGGACGCAACCAGGGTTTTTGTTGCCTATTGCCTCGTGCTACACGATTGACGAGATTATAGTTTTCATAAAATGCGCCATCATTATCTCAATCGATAGCTTTTCCATTCATATTCTTTTTCGGTTGTCTTTCAATATTTTCTCCATCATTTTCCATAAACCATAAGATAAAAATATTTTTTGCACACAAAACACATGATGATGTATGAAGAAGTTCATTTTCCTACCTCACGTCTTCTTTCTATTTTTCTCATTCCACCAGTTTTTTGTGTACCATTGAAATGAAAACGAAAATGAATAAATAGCATGTGGTGGAAATGATGGATATATTCCTTATAATGTCCTTTACCATTTCTCAAGACATTGCAATGTATGATGAGAATAAAAATAATGAAGAGTTTTGGACAGAAATTTAATAAAGTTCTGATGATTCATTGCAGGTTCAGATTTCTTATGAATTTGATTAGATTTTATTAGGATTTAATATTAGGGAGCTCAGAAAGGGGATGAATTTATTTTTATTTATTTTATATGGTGAATCTTAGTCAATAGTTAATCAAATTGAATTTTTGGGAGTTCTTCTTTCAAGTTAATTACACAATTTTATTACTTATTTTGTAATAAAAGGATATTCACTAATCGTGACTTGAATATGAATATTTGTTTTTGTAGTTGTGGTGATTAAATTTTGAGAAAGAATTTTATGAAGCATGATGCAGACTTTTTCAGTTGATACAAACTTTTCTGCTTCTTTTGATGCGAACTTCTTTGCTTCTTTTGATGCAAAATTCTCTGCTTCGTTTGATACAAACTTTTTTGCTTCTTTTGATGCAAACTTCTCTTCTTCATTTGGTGCAAACTTTTATGCTCTATTTGATACAAACTTCTTTGCTTTTTTTGATGCAAACTTCTTTACTTCATTTGATGCAGTTTTCTCTGCTTCGTTTGATGCAAACTTTTTTGTATCTTTTGATGCAAACTTCTCTGCTTCATTTGATGCAAACTTTTATGCTCTATTTGATACAAACTTCTTTGCTTTTTTTGATGCAAACTTCTTTACTTCATTTGATGCAATTTTCTATGCTTCTTTTGATGCAAACTTCTTTGCTTCTTTTGATGCAAACTTCAAACTACAGCAACTACAAAAATAAACTGTTCCAAGTGTCTTGAAAACCCCTTCACAACCAGAAATAAAAGTTCTTCAACATTTTCCTCTCTTTCACCTTCGCATACACTTATAATCCAGGTTAAACCCGTCAACATCAAAAACTCTTCACGTCATCCTCAAAGCTACTGTAATTTAAATGAAAATACTTGAAACATTTTCCATTCACAACTTAAATGCAATAGAAATTAAAATATGAAAAGGCAAAATGAATGAAGTAGCATAAGAATCATTGTGCATAATCGCATAAAGTTCCTGAACTAAAAGCTTTGTTCACCGCCGAGTGTCATTACTTTTACAAATAGCAACAAAAGACTGTGATGTGGAAATAGAGAGGTACTTGAAAAATTACATAAAGAAAAGGTAAATGCAGGGTAAAAATGAAGCAATTAAAAAATCACTTGTAAGTTCATGAAATCCTGTTTGAGCGGTTAAGGAAGGCTTTTAAAATAAGTTGTAAGTTCTTTGACTTAAATTTTCTATTAAAGATTAAATTTTTCAATTTTCTGCCTTTAAATTCCACTCAGTCTTATAACATAAACATCATCAACAAAAAAATCAGCAAATCCAGTTCTATCCACAACATCAAGAGCATCATTAAATAGCGAAAATCCTCAATTTTGAGATGCATGGTAGATATGTTGATTTAAAATAATAACAGCGGATGTTTTAATGAAAATTTTCCTCGCAGATATTTTCGTAATTTATTTACATGGCAAAATTGACGTACAGTAAATAGAAGAAAATGATTGTTTGCATAAAATTAACATTTTTTTCCACTCATATGCGCTATTTAATTTCAGACATGGAAATTCTTCTTTCAAAGAAAAATTTGCATGTGGTGGTGGTTTTTTGGCAATATAATTTGAATTCTTAAAGGCTTTTTTGTTGGATTTTCTCATTAAAGCTGCTAACCACTTTAAAGAACATTTAAGGGACATTTTTGGACCCTTCACTAGCTGCTTTTATGACTGTCCGAAGCGTATGTCTAGGCATAGACAGAGATAGGAGACAGCGGAAATCAACGTTTTGTTTCAATCAAATGGAAATGGTTTGAACCCTGGTTCTGCTCCTGAACTAAATTGCAATTGCTACACATTTTCGTCCAAAACTACCAAATAAAGCTACATGTTTGAATCTTACAAAAATTATCAAGTCAAAGCATAGACAAACGAACCCAAACAACGATCTAACTCAAAAATATTCTCATTATCATGCTCTATTTACTCTTACCATTCATTTCAAGCACATTCACATCCAAAAAACTCAAATAATATGTCAACTCATTTCTTATAGATTTCCATTTAGCACCAATGATCCATTTCTATTACAAAAAGAGTATAAGACATAAAAATTGGAAAAAAGAGTACACAAGTCAACGAATGAAACGACGTCATTTCAGGAAAAAGCATGAAAGTCTTTGAATATCCTCACATACCCCCACCGACTCGACACGAAACAAAAATAAATTCTTATCATGCAAACATTCTCATTTTCATCTTTAATGTGACCTTAAAATGTTTGTCATGACTTTATATCTTCTTCTTGCTCTTCTTTTGTTCTTAACTTTCTTTCTGCTGATGTTTGTGCTTTGCTATGCTGCACAGGCATCTCGTCTAGGTGCGACACACATAAAAATAAAACTTTTTTTTTCTTCTCTTTTTGGATGGATTTTGTTTTTAGGGGAAATAAAAGGGTGACTTGGAGCTGCATTTTGACTGATTTCGGGATGAGAATTTCAGGATCAAGTAAGAAAAATCACAATAGGGGGCAACTGGGGGATATAGATTAGTATGTAAGCCCATTAGCACCAAAAATTCTAGCTTAGTGACTTAATCTAAACACAAATAACTCTTCTTAATCATACAAAGCCCAAAAATCTTCAAAAAATGCGCTTTAATTCTCAAAAATTTCTAACTTCCTTAAACCAAATTATTTACTATTTTTCCATACTTTCGAGGTTTCTATTGTTATACAACACAGAATAAAAGGAGAGAAGAAAGAAAAATTGTGTGTGTATGTCGATTTTTTTTGGGGAAGCAACAAAAAAGCAGTTTTGGCAATAAAGTTTGATTACTATTCGAGTCACGGTTAAATTATATTCTATCCCAGGGTTCAAATGATGGCAAAAATACTAAAATAATGGATTAACGTGCGTTTTTGTCTTCCTTTTTTGCTTAACAAAAAAAAATTTCTTCTATCCATTGTTCTAAGGCAGGCATCTACGGTTGTTGTGGAATGGTAAATTATTGTTCTTATAATAAAGTATGTAAGATGGTGGGAGATGAAATAAGATTAGAAATATTTTGGTAAAATGATGGCAATGATGATGGTGATGATGATTAACTGAAATTTGGGTATCGATTTATTATTATTATGGATGTGGATGAGGAAATTTGGCATTTTTTTCGGAGTCAACTTTTTTATTACAAAATTAAAGTTAAGAGGGTAGCTTGATTTTTGGTAAGAGCAACATTAAGCACATTCAAGTCCAATACAAATAAACCAGCTATATTTCAAAAATCGTCTAAATTAATTATTTTTCTATCTTTAACATTTTTAATCCTCGACTATTCTCATTATGGAATTATCTGCTTATATTCATCAACAATTTGATATCATGTTAATCCCTTTATCCAATAAAAAAAGGCAATAATGGTACGCAAAAAGCTTGTGTAGGCTAAAATAGGAAATACAATGTCCATAGTGATGATTTTGTCAATATTATAGGACTTGTGACATTCTAGTCTAGGAAGGGATTCAAAGGTCTACCCTAGACTTTAATTAAACCCAGCTAGAACTTAAAACAAAGCAAAATTGCATTGTTGAATAGAAAAAAAATCCAAAATTGCCTGAGTTTAATGAAATAAAAACTTTTGAATCCCTTGAAGATCCACTGGGACATCATTAAACATCTTTAAATTTAATTAGAAATTCAACTAGACCCCAACAAATTATTCTCGCTAATAAAATTTAATTAAAAAATTCTCTCAAGGGTAGTAAATAAAAATAAAAAGTTATCATTAAAACACAAATAAACACAACATAAATTTAATTTTTATCTAATCTTCTTTTATTCATTAACTTGTCTTATCATGTCCATTTAATTATCTTTATTTTCACTACTTTCTCTTTCACATTATTTTCATGCTTATCTTTATGTACATAATTCCAATTTTTTTCTGTTTTTTTTTAACATAACTGCTGCTGCTGCTGCCACACACATACGGAACAAAAATATAAAAATATTCCTATTTAATTGCCAACATAAATATTCATGCATTTAACATAACACGATAGGTGTGCACTCGCCCCTAATCATTTTATTTTATTTCTTTGTGTTTTTTCTTGTTGTGCTCACTAATTTACCGTGAAATAAATTGAAGTTCATTAACAAAACAACAGAAAGGAAATTTATTGGATGTTTTGAGGATCGCAGTCATAAAAATGTTCAAATTATTTTTTATTATTTGTTCAACTGTCAAGATGAATCCTTCAATGTTTTTAACAATTGACCCTGAAACTATATTTAATGCAAATCTGCAGTAATATATTTGTTTAATTTTATAGACGTGAGTTTTAAGGGAAGTTGTTAATGTTTCTAAATTTGACTGAGTGTCTTCTGAGATGACAAAATAGACTTAAACTTCTGAGATGACAAAAAAGGATAAAAGTTGTGTGACGACAAAATCTTCTGAACTGACAAAATATTCTGGGAAGACAAAATCCTCTGAGACGACAGAATCTTCTAAGATGCGAAAATTTTCTGATACTTATAAGATGACAAATTCTTCTGAAATGACAAATTCTTCTGAGATGACAAAATTTTCTGAAATGACCAAATCTTTGGGGGTGAAAAAATATTCTAAGATGACAAAGTTTTCTAAAACTTCTGACATGACAAAATCTTCTGAGATGACAAAATCTTCAGAGATGACATAATTTTCTAAGACGATATAATTTTCTAGAACTTCTGAGATGACATAATCTTCTGAGATGACAAAATCATCTAAAATGACCAAATAGACTAAAACTTCTAAGATGACAAAATCTTCCGAGGTGATAAAATCTTTCAAAAACTTTTCAAGTCGCCCAAATCCACAACTCAATAAATCTCCCATACTTTCCTAAACTGCATTTACATAAATTCCATTTCAACATAAATAAAAGTTAACGTTCATCCGAATAAAAATATATTATTTAATTCCATAAATGCCACACATCTGCTCACTTTCGAATTTCTATACATTTTCATTTGTAAAATACAAACATTGTAAAAAGTGATTAAAGCAAATCGTTTCTAATTGAACTTAAAAGGTGTTCTCTGTGCTCTTTACAAAACCATTTTCGCAATTCATCGAGGGGGTGTGAGGGTGTGTGCTCGATTGAATTGCGATTGATAGCGACATATGTGACTGTGCAAATATTTACTTTGAAATTGCATCAATTGAGACTGGCTAGTTTTAATTACAGTTTTTTTTTAACTGGGATTGAAATTTTTACGAACTCAATTAGAGAGTTGCTGGGTAGAGATTGTGAGATTGATTCTTGGTATTTGTTGTTTGTTGTGAAGAAATGTATTGAATTTCTGAAGCTGCTTGCTGTCAATTAAAGTAAGAAATTACGTCGATGAGATTCATTTCTGGTTGAAAATTTAATCAATTAAACTTTGGAGTGAAGCGACGATTAAAGTTGAGGATTGTGAAGCGATGGCTTAAAGTTGAGGCTTATAAAGCGACGATTTTAAGTTGAAGCCTTGTGAAGTGATGACTTAAAGTTGAGGATTGTGAAGCAACGACTTAAAGTTAAAGTCTTGTGAAGGGATGATTTAAAGTTAAAGCCTTGTAAAGCGATGACTTAAAGTTGAGGCCTTAAAAAGCGACGATTTAAAGTTGAAGCCATGTGAAGCGATGACTTAAACTTGAGCTCTGTTGAAGCGACGACTAAAAAATGAGTTCTTATAAAGCGTCGAATCAAATTTGAGATCTTACAAAAGCAACGACTTGAAATTAAGACCTTTTAGAGCTATAGAGAAAAATAATAAAAACATTATTATTTTCGGAAATCATAATAAAACCAAGATCATCAAATTATACAACACAAAGTTCTTTATTAACTTTCTTCGATAAAATATTTCAATTTTCATTGGGACATCCTGTCCCTGTCTCTTAATAAATCAAAACAAAATTTATTTACATTTATCAATGATCATGTCGAAGAAACTTGACATATTCAAATTATTTCTGTAGTCAAAGATAAATTGAATTTCCCTTTAAAAAAAATAAAATTTTTAATATAAAACATTAAATGTAGCCCTCATGACCTCAATATATATCATGCAATAAAAAGGTACGGAAGTAATTTGTAAAGTAAACTTATTGAAAATAGAATAGAAAGTTAAATAGAAATTTTTGTAGCATTTACGTCATATTTTTATTCAACTAGTTCGCATTACAATGGAACCAGTTTCTCTTCTTTTCTATATATGTAAACATTGGGAATATGTAACAGGATTATGCGACAGAGCTGTCGCATTATTCGAAAGGACAAATTACTTTCACCATCGGACCCTTTTTTTTCATTCTCCTTTCATGTGTTTTGTGTGTATATTCTTCCATCCTTAATTTTATTTTCTCTCCACTTCATTCCATTCCATACATAATGTTAAGCATATATTTGTTCTATATATAAATATATTTTTCAATGTTTACGTAATTTTAATATGATAATGAAGGGATTTGCTTGTCACGTCAGCGTCAAAAAAGTGAAATTTGTATCAGATTTATTTTATTTTATTTTTTTTTTTTGCCTACTCTCTTATTTCTATGTGTCTCCAATTTCTTCTTGTTCTTGTTGCTTCTCTTTCTGTGTCGATAGATACAATTTTTGTATGAAGAAATGTGTCGAACTGAGAAGCTGGCTGCAGAAGATTTAGGATGGGGGTATAAGATGGAATTTATTCTTTTTTTGGGGCGCAATTTTGTAAGGATTTAATGTGATTTTATTCGTTTTGTCCTGGGTGTTAGGCAAATTGGGTGCTTAAATTTTAAGTGAGTTGAGAATTAGCATTATTTTGGGAATTTTTTGTTTTAGCTTGTACAGTTTTGACACACATCTGGGGTACATAACATCACCTATCGATTTATTTTGCAATAGTTTTTATTTACGGATGCCCTAAAATTAGAAGCCCCAAGTCCCGATCCTCCATCAACATCACTGTCCAGAAAAACACCAAAAAACTCGCAAGCACGTCACAGCTGCTCCATGTAAATGAAAGAATACTGCCAAAAAACGAAAGAGTCTCATTCAGCCTCAAAAGCGCTGTTAAAATGTGCATCTTCAACCCCCGACAACCTTCTGAAAGAAAAGAAAAGAAAAGATGGAATTTTCATCCTTCATTCGCATAGTCAACACGATCTCATGTAGAATAGAAATTAGAAATTCAATTCAACATTGCCATGCGAAAGACAGAAGACTGCAGATAAACACACAGAAAGTGTGAGAGACACAACACATCAAAATACACAAGACATAAGGACGCAAAAGTATTTAAATTTATAAAACTTATATTTTTTTTTTCATAATAAATCTGACACTCATGCGAATGAATAATAAGGGAAAAAAGAATGAGGATATGAGCGCGTGGTAATCGCGTGTCAATTTTTATAATTGCTTCTTCTGCATTTGCATATCTGAGTTGTGCCATAAATTGAATTAAAGGGATTTTACTTGATTATTCGTTTTTTTTTTGCTGTCTTCGCCGCACATTATATGAATCACTGTCACTGTCTCCAGTTTTTGCTCTCATTCACTTGAAAAGGATTATGTGACAAAATATTATGATAAATAATATTATCATTAAAATTGCATGGATAGAGGACACAAAAAAATTAATTCGTGCATTGTTTGTTGCATAAATAAAGGATTTACTAACGCTTTTGTGTGTGCATGTGAAATATAATTTTAAATGAAAGGGTTAAGGGGATTTTTAGTGTCACTTGAAATTTAATTCCTGCATGAACAATTTTTTGTGTTTTTTTTTGGCATTTAATGTAAAGTTCAGAGATTTATATGTCTCTAGTGACTTGATTTCTGGTAGATTTCTGGCCTTGCTGCGCTATTGATGAATATCCATCACAATCTTTAGTTTTTAAAGCCTGCAAAATGAAAATTTAATAAAATGCGTCTTAGAATTTAAAAGTTTTGATGACTTTTCTACTTCATTTCTTTTTGTTTATTCAGATTACTATTAAAATATGGTCAACAGTTCAACATGTTTTCTGACTGATAAAGTCAGTGCTTTATGCTTGTGGATTCATATATTATTTGTGAAATATATATTACAAAATGGTTGATAATATTATGAAGTTAATAAAATTTCCGAATTTCGTTTTATGCAAATCAATATCTCCTCAAACTGTATCCATTAAGAGTACAACTCTTAAGATCCTTCAAATTTTATTATCAAGAAAATTGCCTTCAGAATAAAATACAATTTTAAATATGATCGAATTTCATTTCATTTAATTTTCATTACATTTCCTTTTAAATTAATTTTCAAAAAGTTACTCTTCATCTTCATGCAAAATTGAATTTTATCGTTGTTCGCAATTCTTCTTCTATCTCTCTTTATACCTATGACATAAATACAGCATCATTTTATACAAATAATTTGATTTGCAATCTAGCTTATGATTGAATTTTCTCATAATTTTTTTTCCTCATTCATTCATTCATTCTTCCTTTATTGATAACAAGTGGATTTTCTTGTGAATAAATGAAAAATGAGTGCGATAAGCAATGAATATTCATTCACATCTTTCATTATTCTACTGTGAACTATATTGTGCTTTACAAAGTTACTCTACGTAATGAAGTTTTTCAATTAAGATAAAAAATAAGTTAAAGGATGACTCGATGTAACTACGTATATTATGCTGCATTATGAACACTTTGAGATAACAAGATTGTGATGTACTTGTCAATTAGGAGATTAGAAATGAGTGTTTAGCGCAGTTTTTGATAGATTTTGATTTAAATTAAGGAATTGTTTCGTTCTTAGCTTTTAATAAGTCGTTGCTTTACTTTTAATACATTTCCAATAAGTCTACGCTTTATTTTCAAATCCACGCTACACATTCGATTCAAATAAAGTCGGCGCTTCATCTAAATCCAAACCAATAATCAGTCGGACAAAAATCTGTTCAATTCAAGACTTAATATCAGCTAAGAGCTCAGAAACACCAAGTCTCATTTCCCTTATCACTCTTGCGCATTATATCAATTTTCCATTCATTTACATCGACATTAAATGGTGGAAATAAAGGAAAAAAAGTAACTAAAAAGCCATGCTTAATTGCCGTAATTATATTAAGTACTCATTTTTCTCTTATGCTCTCATTTCGAGATAATTAAAGACTAAGTGCAATTAGAAATTGACTTGAAGTATTACGACATAAGACGTAGTGGAGAATATGCAACAGTTCCACAGATGTTTCCACTCAAATAAATACAATGGAGCTGCAAAACGATGGAATTTTACGGATGGTGAGTTCAAGAACGTCATAAACAATTAGTTGGAAAGTATTTAGAGGAGAATGGAACGGAATGAAATGGTAATTAGTGGGGAAAAATTAAAATGAGAGGAAATGAGGTTTTTTTTATAGAATGCATTAAAAATGAGGGATGTTGATGATTATGGAAAATTGCTGAATGCATTGTAGTTTCATTGTTAGCAAAGCTTCTAGAATCATGATTCTTTATAACTGTTTAGTTTTTAAATTGAGCAGAGGTTCTATCCCCAACTTGAACTCACCACAAGTTTGTAATCTATCGATAACGATATCCCCTATTGAGTTGAGTGTATCGCACCAAAAGTTTCCGATTTATAATTGGATTTTCCCATTAATTGGACCTATCTTATTATCTTTAACAGGGATGTAGTCAAAGAAGGAGTCCAAAAAAGTTCGATCTACCCTAAATTAATGGCACAAAATCTCACTTTACAGATACAGAAGAACTCCTTATCAGTCAATAACACTTACAATTAGAATTAATTCTAATTAAGAGACTCAATGTCATCACCTGATAAATATTTAATTTTTGGATAAGATAGCTACAACTTTCTATAAAACCTAAAGCAAAAACTCAATTTCTCTTTATTTTGCTTGTTTAATTCTCATCAGCAGGATGTTTCGCTTCTTCATTGCTGTTGTTTTGATAGCCTGTAGCTTAGCAGCAACAATTCCTGATGCCACAGAAACGGAGGAATTCAAACAATGGTCAGGAAGAATTGTTGGTGGACAAGATGCAGCTATTGGGCAATTTCCATATCAAGCTTCAATGAGAAGTGCTGCAAATGCTCATTTTTGTGGTGGATCAATTATAAATCGTCGATGGGTTGTTTGTGCAGCTCACTGCACAATAAATAGACTTGTCGCAAACACAGTAATTGTTGTTGGAGCTCACAACAGAATAACCGGAGGAATTACACATCAATCTGAACGTATTGCAAATCATCCACAATATAATTCAGCCACAACTGTAAATGATGTCTCACTGGTTCGATCAGCTACAGACATTATTGAAAGTGACGTTGTTGGATTCATTGACATTGAACCAGCACACATCAATCATCATTTCCCATCATTTACTTCAGGTTGGGGTCAAACATCACATCCCGGTAGTGCAGCTACAGTTCTCCAATGGCTTACTGTTGAAGTAATTCCAAACGATGAGTGCCGATCACGTCTTTCAACAGCAAATGCAGCAAGAATTGCTGACTCAGTCATTTGTGTCTCATCAGCAAATGGTCAAGGATTGTGCTTCGGTGATTCTGGTGGTCCATTGACTGTTAATGGACGCCTTGTTGGTGCTGTTTCTTGGGGTGTTCCATGTGGTACTGCTGCTCCTGACATGTATGGACGTCTTTCAGCAGTCCATGATTGGTTGTTGTCTGTAATTGATATTTAAGTTATTGACTTGCCAAAAAGTTAAAAAATTGTAAAATAAAAAATATTCTAGATAGAAAATTTCAATGTCATCATGCCTATATAGTATTTTTGATTATTAAGCTACTCAACACTTAAACTTATCAATCGATAAAAATTTCGGATAAGATAGGAATTATTTTGCAAAACCATCAATAAAAACAGGAGTTTGAACTTAATTTCACTTTATTGTGATTCGCGAATCCAACACATTACGATGTTCCGCTGCTTTTTTGCTGTTACTTTGATTGCATGTAGCTTAGCTGCTATAGTTCCTGATGCCACAGAAACTGAGGAATTTAAACAATGGTCAGGAAGAATTGTTGGTGGTCATGAGGCCACACCTGGACAGTTTCCATATCAAGCATCAATGAGAAGTGCTGCAAATGCTCACTTCTGTGGTGGATCAATTATTAACCGAAGATGGGTTGTTTGCGCTGGTGAGTTTTTATAGATTTTAATTTAAGTGTTGTTTTTGGATTATAAGCACACTATCAGACTTCCAGGTTGTAAATTTATAGCCTTAGTTTTAAGTAAACGATTCCAAAACTAAGACTTCAGTATATTAAAAATTATTTTTGCTTTCCTTATTTCAGCTCATTGCACAAACAACAGACTCCTCGCAAACACAATGGTCGTTGTTGGAGCTCATCATAGAGTTACAGGAGGAACTACTCATTCAGTCGAGCGCATTGTCAATCATCCAAATTTCAGTCAAATCTCATTAGCAAATGACATTTCCATGGTTCGTTCAGCTACAGATTTTGTTGAAAGTGCATCAGTTCGTTTTATTCAACTTGAACCAAACTTCATCATTACCGGATTTCCAGCAACAAGCTCAGGTTGGGGGCAAACAACAAATCCTGGAAGTGCTGCTGAAAATCTTCAATTCTTACACGTTGAAGTAATTACAAATGAAGAATGTCGTTCAAGATTAACATTGACAAATGCAGCACGTATTGGAGATACAACAATTTGTGTCTCATCTCCAGATGGACAAGGATTGTGTATGGGAGACTCTGGTGGTCCATTAACATACGGTGGACGTCTTATTGGTGCTGTATCATGGGGTGTTCCATGTGGTACTGCTGCTCCTGATATGTTTGCACGTATTTCTGCTGTACATGGATGGTTGGTTTCAATCAACGATATATAAGTGAATATTGTGTGAAATTTAAAATTTTGAAGTAAATAAAGTGAAAATTTTTCAAAAAAGTGTAGGACTTTCCAGTTTTTCAGATGATATTAATGATTTTACGATTCATTCATTCATAACATTTTTATCGATAATTAATTAATCCACTAGATATGATAAGGAAGTACATAACAAACTATATAAACACGAGTCAATCAATACTAATTATATGATTAAAACTATAACACACTCCAGCTTATCAGCTGATAATTTTTGGATAAGATAAAGTTTACATTCAATAAAACCAGAAGTTCAACCAAACTTCAAACTATTGTGTCTTTCAAAACTATTCAGTTCACACTAAAAAGATGTTTCGCTTCTTTATTGCTGTTACTTTAATTGCCTACAGCTTAGCTGCTACTGTTCCTGATGCAACCGAGACAGAGGAGTTTAAACAATGGTCAGGACGAATTGTGGGTGGAAATACAGCTACACCAGGTCAATTTCCATACCAAGCATCGATGAGAAATGCTGCAAACTCACATTTCTGTGGTGGATCACTTATTAACCGCAGATGGGTTGTTTGTGCATGTAAGTATAATTTTGAGAGTCATGATAGGTGATGTTTACTTCCTTTCTTTGGCTTAAATGCATGTTGATCTCTTTGTGCAATATGTAGACAGTTTTAAATTTTATCACTGTATCTCTTATTGCAGAACGATCACGTGAGAGTCAAAACACATGGTATTTTTATTTCAAATGATATCTCTAGAGCACAGTAACAAGATCAGCTTCCTAAATGGTTCCTAAAACCAAAATGCAATTTAAAAAATTAATAACTTAATTAAATTCCATCCATCTAGCTCATTGCACAGTCAACAGACTTCTCGCAAACACAATAATTGTCGTCGGAGCTCATCATAGAGTTACAGGAGGAATAACTCATCCAGTTGAACGCATTGTCAACCATCCAAACTACAGCTCAATCACATTAGCAAATGATGTTTCACTCGTCCGTTCAGCCACAGACTTTATTGAAAGTGAAACTGTAGGTTTTATTCAACTTGAACCAAACTTCATCATTACCGGATTTCCAGCAACTAGCTCAGGTTGGGGCCAAACAACAAATCCAGGAAGTGCTGCTGAAATTCTCCAATTCTTAAACGTTGAAGTAATTACAAATGAAGAATGTCGTTCAAGATTAACATTGACAAATGCAGCACGTATTGGTGAAACTACGATTTGTGTCTCATCTCCAAATGGTCAAGGATTGTGTATGGGAGACTCTGGTGGTCCATTGACATACGGAGGACGTCTTATTGGTGCTGTGTCTTGGGGCGTTCCATGTGGTACTGCTGCTCCTGATATGTTTGGACGTATTTCTGCTGTACATGCATGGTTAGTCTCAGTTATTGATGTCTAAATGCACAAATATGTTAAATAAAATAAATAAAAATCTAGAAACAGCAACAGCATCATGTAGAATAGAAACAATATCCATTAAAAGTTACTCAACCTTTGAAGCTCAAAAGTCACATCAATCTCGTTATCCTAAAAACACTCTTTGTCCATACGAAAATCTAATTATATCCTTTTTGCCATTTTGAGCTTCCTTTGATATGTGAAACCATATCCCAATCCCAGTTCCCCCCGCCCCCATCCTCAAACGTTTCGTATATCAGACATTCAAAATTACATGTTAGACGCACATTCAAGCAACCCCTCATAGCACTAACAAAACTAGTATGCATGACTTTTTTTTTTGCACACAACACACACTCGAAAATTGAATGTGATTTAAATCAATTACAAAGCAGCCTACGCCCTGTCATTTTCATGCAGAGCTAAAATCTGTTTCGCATAATTTTCTATGAAGAGTGTTGATTAAAGGCTACAATGCACGAAATGACTAAGAAGTTGAGTTGATTTTTCATCATTATTATTTTTTTTTATGTTGTCGTTGGCTTTGTTTTCAGCATTGAAAGAGGCGTTTCTCCTTGAAAATCACAAACATTCATCAATTTTGATTCATTCGGGAGGCGAACATTTCGTTGCTATTTTTGGAAAAATTATGAAAAATTGACTTCATTGTTCTATCTGATCGTAGCAAATTAAAGAAAGGGAGACTTATAACTTATAATTATCTTTTTCAGTGGGTATGCAATCTGTAATGCATGAAGTAAATTGATTTAAATTATAGGTTGCAATATTACTTTGATGTATCTGTGACTTATGTATTTGTATGAATATGATGTAGATTCTTTGAGAATCATAGATAAAGCTGGTGTTGAGATCAAATAATTTTTTTTCTCGTGCAGTCTTAATACTCCTTGATACTGATGTAAGTTGTCACTGTTGTCCATTTTTTTATACTGCTAAGAATTGATTATTTGAAAATCAAACCTGCTCCCACTGAGGGGCTAATTTCGACACTTGACACTACTCAATCAAATCAAAGCATACCAAGGCGCTTTGGCCCTGACTTACTCAACATACTTTCTCTCAACAAGGACCTCCGACCTTCTACCATACTCACACTTTAAGTTACAAAATCTAGCAACGTATAAAAAAATCCTGCGTCATCACTAGACATTCAACGCCCCACAATCCTTAAAAGATTTCCTTCCGCATCTCCCAGTATAATTCATAGACCAACAAGGTAGCACCAAATTGTCAGCACACAGCAGAGAAAGCAAAGTCGACTTTCAACATTGTTATTATGTCGTCCGAGAGTAATAATTAATTTTTTTTCTTCTATTTTAAACCCCACAATTCACCAAACGAACAACAGCCAAAAGTCTTTAGCATTCATTATGCCACATCCACTCATCCTACTGTGCATTACTGATTGTTTTCCATTTTTTTTTTTATTTTTTCTTCAAAACTTGTATTTAAATTTATTGCGGAAGCATTTTAGAGGGTTTGTTACTTTGTGCTCGCTTATAATTAAGACTACATGAGTCTCAATTTCACTCTCGTTTTAATGTGTTTTGAGCCTCCCATGTTGTGTGCTTGTTTATGAAGTCTGGACACGAATTTTTTTTTCCTCTCTTTTCTTCTTTGTGCTGCTTGTTGTTGCTGTTCAACATTTGTCATATTCATATTGAAAAATATGGGGAGGAAAAAGAAGTGAAGGAATGGACACTAAATAATGAATTATGAATATTAATTTTTTATTAATTGAGAATTTTTTTTTCTACCCTGTTTTAAAAATGAAACTTTGCATGATTTATGGAGAGTTAGAAGAACTGACAGATGGGAAAAAGGGGTTTGATAGAAGTTAATGTTGTTAATGAAAATGGAATCAACTAAAATGACTAGTGATTTATGAAATGGTTTCTTATTCAGACTTCTATGGACTGAATTTTAAGCTTCTGATGCAGTTTTGAGCAATATTGAGGAAGGGTTCACCCATGCTTCTCCTTCTCAAAATTGAATACACATCCATAACTCTAAACTGGATGATAAAAAGCCATTCAGCTTCCAAACTTTCCGAAAAATCTTAACGACTTTATATAATTACATTTTCAATTTTATAGCCTCAAATTCATCATTATTCTCGATACAAAGCAGGACATTAATTAAAATTTTATATCTTTTCAAATGATTTATTATTCAGAAGAACTACTTAGAGTGGATGAGAAATTACCATTAAGTTCTCCATTGTACAGTGTCCACACCTCATGAGAATCTGAACGAAGAAGAATTAGAAAGAAAATAGGAATGAATAGGTATGAAGTGAAGTTGAGGGTGAATGAACAATGGCACAAAAAAATCTATGAAAAGAGAAAATGAATTTTCATTAATATGGGAATAGTTTTGCGGTTCTTTGGTTTTGTACGAATGTTCAAGCTATTTCGCCATTTTGAAATTCAAAACTTTATTTTTAAATATAAATGTGCATATTTTATGCAAAAATTACAATTTATTTATGCTGATTAAATGTAATAAATTCTACACATATTGAATAAATCATCATAAAAATTTATCGAAATGGAATCAAGCATCACGTTACACCTCAATGCACCCCATAAATGAAAGTTGTTTTTTTTTTAAAAAAAAGTGAATGAGGAAAAAAGAAGCGAAAAAAATTCAATCAACATTCTACTCATGTGGTGATTTTGCTTCCACTTTGTGTTGATCCTTGCTTAGGAAAGTTAAAGTTTGGGCTGAAAGTGGATAGAACGCATATTGTATGATTAATAGATATATTAACGAACCTTTATAATTTAAAAAAAAAATCTTTTAGAAAACACGTGTTTTTATTCATTCACTTCGAATGTTTGACTCTAAAATTTGAGCTTATAAAAAGACTTTGACTCTGAAACAGACTTAATTCTTAAAATTCAGGTCGGAGCATGCAATTTTATTTCAATTTCATTTATTTTTAAGCTTAATAAAAGTTTTTAAATCAAATTCTAATTTTCTCCCAATTTATTAACTGTAAGGAACCATGAATTTGTGACTAAAAACATTTAAAAGCTGTTTTGTGACTTTCTAAAACACTAGATGTCGTTTGAACAACCCAAAACGTCGAATTCTCATCTCATATTTCCATTATTAACAGCTCCACTAAAAAAATAATAAAAAAATATTGTTCCATGTAAAATAAATCGAGTCTAAAGCAAAAAGCATTTAAAAAGCATTTGATGAAAAGAATGTTGAATGTGATGGGCAAACGCCAGGGGTATAAATCTTAATTATTGTACATACATGCAACCTAACACGAAATGTTTATGAAAAACCATATTCATATTCTTACATATTCCGGTTGATAAATTGATATACGACACTTCTATTATTTCCTTAATTTTTTTATGCTTTTGTTCCTTTTTCACTATGAAGTAAATTTTTTTGTTAGTTCCCTTTCGACATGCTTTAACTCTCTCTTTATGAATGTGTCTGAATGTCATGTTGAAAATTAAAAAAAATATATATAAATTTGAATGGAGAAGTAAAATTAAAAATAAAGTGGTGGCACAGCGGGTGAGATGCTAATACCTCATGCATGTACACATTATTATTAATTTTCTGTTTACACGGATATTTTAATTCATTGTTGTTTGTTTCAACTATTTTTATATGTGTGTAGTTCTGGTAGGGTGCACTCACCGATGAATGCAAATGTGCTGGAATCAATTCTTTGATACAAAAAAAATGAATTTTAAAATTTCAAAATTTCAAAAAAAAAGTTTAAATAAAACTTAAAATTCAAAAGAATTTTTCAAAGAAAAATAAAAACTTAATTTTAATATTTTTTTTAAAAAAAAAAACAAATAAAATCGAACCCCTAAATAGCATTAAACATGCTTCAGGTATTAATTATGATTCCAAATAGTATTTTATTTCAGTATTTTAGTTTCATATGTGTATCTGATATCTGATCTAACATGAACTTCATTGACCACTTGCGCGCGTGCTTTTATTTAAATGCAAATTAATACATTGTACTCATTCGGTATTGAATTTTATGGAAATTTGTGTGCTTAATGGTTATCAGTATCAGGTAAGGAGGTTGTTTTTGGAAGTGTGACGTTGATAAATTTGAATTAAATTTGTGGAAAAAGATTTTTTTGCTGACGATAAGTTTTGTTTAATGTTGAAACATGGCAGATGGGGGAGACTAGAAAATTTTAAAAGGTTTTGAATTTGTTTCACAAAATTTTAAAATTTTATCTGCTTAACAAATGGTGGACATAGATCTCAAAGTAAGGAAGCCTCTAATTTAATGAATTTAAACTTTTAAGTATTAATCTCTGCCCAAGACCAGCACAAATAACTTAAATTTCAGGCAACATTTTTTTTTCATCATTTAATCAAAAATCAATTCCTGACAGCCTTTCGAAATTCCTCATATCCGGATCTGAAATTTCCGTTCCTTTAACTCAAAAATAACCAAATTTCTCATCCTTTTCAGCATCTTCTTCCTCAAAATATTCCTACAATCTCGTTATTTGGCATTTTAACGAGCATCCATGTATCTTATTTTCTTTGCAGCTTGTACCACACACAAAAAGTCTTTTAACAAAATATTTCTTCTTATCAAGACAGTCTGAAAGGAAAACAAAGTAAAAAGGAGCAGCAATCAAAAATATAAAAGAAAAACAAGCAAGTAATTGCTAACAACATTACGATTTTTATATACATACAGTAATTTTGTTGCTCTTTGCTTCTTCTTTTTGGCTGTTAAATTGACATACAATTTTGTGTGTCGTTAAAAAGGCTCGTGGCATTATCAAGAATTTCCGTTTCTGAATATCGACAACGAGAAATAAATGAAGGACATTTTGTGATTGTGGGGCTTAAAAGGCGACTGAACTTTGTTGAAATGATCAGTAATGAGCAGTTTGTGACTGGAATTTATGCCAGAAGAAATATTCCAGAGCTTACAATATTATTCTCGCCACAATTACAAAAAATGACCCTATGACTCATTTTATGTTAATGACATCCTTATCATTTGC